CCCCTAAAGCACAAGATTATACAACAAGATTAGTGGATGAAAACGAGCGACTTAAACGAGAAATAAATACAATAAGGACTAACCAAATAAATAGGATTAACAAAATAACCCAGCAAAAAAACTGTATTACAGACCTTCTTTGTAAAAATTTTGCTTTATCTTTATTAAGATATCGAGATAGATTAGAACTTATAAACACCTGAGAAGCTCTGCAAAATATACAAGCATGGAACTTTAATTCATCTGATTCTGATGAAAATTCTCAAGATACTTATATTTTTGATCAAACTTTAGATATGGCTACGATAGCTGAGTTAGCTGATGCTATAGACCGATCCCTAAATGATACAGCAATATGTAGAACTGTTTTAACAAATCAAATTAAAAGATCAACAAGATCAATCTGACGTAAATATACTAACCTACAACAAGATCTGGTAATATATGATATGAACCTATCTACGAAATCTTTATGATCTTCATCACCGCTATGAAATTCTGGTTGTGCAAATCCTATGGGTAATGCCATATTTCTTTGATTTGGTGGATTATTATAAAGTGCCAAAATTTGTTGATTTAAAATTAAAATATTCTGACGCTCTGCATGAGTCTTATTTTTTCACTTCCTATATCACCTTAGCTGGAGTAAATAACGATGCAAATATTCTCACTATATTAGATCAATCTCTAAAAGGAGAAGCAAGAGAATGGTATCATAGAGAATTTGACAATAAAAATTGGGAGTTAGAAAATGTACTTGATAACTCTGGTATAGGTGCAACAATAGCACATATTCGAGGTGCTAATGCTGTAGCTATAACAGGTGCAGTTGCTTCTTTCTCAAATGTTCTACTTGGACTTACAGGTGTACAAATTATCCCTGCTCGAAATGTTGCTAAAGATTGGACAATAGCAGGAGGACGTCCAACTAATGCAGTACCAGTTGCACCAAATGCTGGAGGAGGTGTTTCTATTATTCTAGCAGGAATGCGATCTGGACAAAGGCTTTGGTGGATGAAAAAACATTATCCAACTGCTAATAAATATGTAAAGATGTTAGAAATTAGAGCATTAAGACAAGGCGTATATGAGAGTGTACTTTCATTCTGGGCAAAAATTCAGAAATATGGCAATCAACTCGGTTATACTCCAGCATAGAAGAAAACTCATTTCTTATCTGGAGTTAGACCCAATATTAGAGATGAAATTTATAGAATTGGTCAAACAAAACACAATAACAATATTATTGATAGTTTGGCAGAACTTGAATTATGTTATAGAATATTACAACAGGCACCATCACAACCTCGCCATGCACCTATTGCTCCTGCCATCCCAGATATTATATCACAACAACCGGTATTCCCCATGGCTGATATACAAAAAATGATTCAAGATGCATTGGCACAGCAAAAAACTGAATATCAGTCTTTATTAGAAAAACAAAAAACCGATTTTCAATCACAAATGGCTAAGCAAACGCAAGTATCTGCATCTCAAACTGTTAAACCAGTTAGACAGCCAAGAGGTCCACCATCTTCATTACAAACCGAAGAAGGTATAGAAAATTATCGCTTATCACAATACTTAAATGATTTAGGTATATTTAGTATAGAAGATTTTGATAAAAATTATCCTATAAAGCCTTTTCAAAAACCTTGGCCGGAATGATTATATTCATCAAATCAAAATGCTAGAATAAATAGAATAGAATCGAAAGTAGATGAAATCGGTCAAATGACATCTCAATTCGGAAGAATGATACTTGATAATCATTCAAAAAAACCTGTAGCTAAATCAAATTCAATACGTCGATACTTTCCTCCTCTAATATCTTCCCAATCCCAATATGCATCCCCGATTCAGATGATAATGAGAATAATGAAGGTGAATATAATGAGGAAGAAAATAGATGAAATGCTTCATCTCAGACAGAAAAAAAAAACAAGTATTATCAGTAAATAATAAATCACATGTTAATACACAAAATGCACTTTCTATAAAGGATATGATACCTAAAAGCTATGATTAACTAATGAATTCATTATCACTGATAATATGTAAAATGTGTCAGTCTCATATAGTTCAGGAGAAATCAAAATCAGATAAGTGGTTTTCGTCATTACAATACTTGCATTGTAGTATAAATGATCTATTGATCACTAATTCCTTTTTAGATAGCGCGAGTGAATTTGGAGGGGTCAATAATGCAACAATTAATGCCCTGAGGTGGAAAGCTGACAAGCCATCTGACTTTGCTATAAAAGGTAATTCCAAACACATCACCGAATCATTGGAATAGTTTACAGATATGCCAGTTAGTATAAAGGATAAGGATGGAAAAATTGTTATGGCTACTGGAAATTTTGCTCATATTAATAATAGTGAACCTGAACCAATGTTATGTTTAGGTATGACATGGATTCGAAAAGTTCAAGGTATTCTTGATCCAAATAAAAATCAATTTCGAATGAAGTTACATAGGAAGACTTATACTATCCCAACTTTTAGCAAGGCTACAGAGGTTAATGAACCAGAGCAACAAGTTTCAGATATGTATGATGGTGAGAATTTAAAAAAAAATATGACTTACTTGAAAAGTGACTCATAAAAACTGAAGAGTGGCTTGATATGGCTCTAAATGCAGGTAGAGTTCTTGCAGAAAGATGCTCTCAGCTTACTGAGGCAAAGACGGGCATATAGGAGCTAATCTTTCAGTATCTTTCATTAATTTTTCAAGATCTGCTTTTCTTCTAGATGTATCGGACAAAGTTTGTGCACTCTCTGTATTATCTATACTAAACTTCTTTTTTCGGCTAATCTTTTTTGGCAATATGTTTGGAGGAACTGATGATACGTCTATATTATGAGATATCACTACATCTGTACTAGACAAAGTATCCAAATTTTGTTCTTTTTGAGGTATAGGATGATAAGTGTTTTGTAAGGTTTGATTAAAAATTATAGAAGTTGTAGCCCCATTTTGTTGCAGACGTTCACAATTGTTCTATATATCCTTAACACGGTTTTCATTAATATAGAAATCTCTTATTACTGTATATATAGGAACCTTGTCTTTAAGCTTCCTAATTGCTTCAATTTGTTCGGGTGTTAAAAATGTAGCCTTTTTGCGATAATAGATTTTTAGATACGGAGTAGTCATGGATTGAAGATTTTAGATTGATGTTTTTTATTTTTGAATGATAAAATACGATAAAAAATATTCAAGATTGAAATATATTATTTTAGATGAATAAAAATACTAAGAAAAAATGTTACTCTGCATCTTCGGTTATATATAAAATCTTATGAGACTTCTATTAATATTTGCTAATGATATATAATGTTAAATATTGTTTGATAATATTTGTATTCATTTTTTATCCATTAATAAGGAAGTTCAAAATTGATAATAATCTGATAATTCAAATTATATGTCTCGAATTCATACATTGTCAGATATAGGCGAAGGTAATAAACTTGGAGACTTACCATCCAATCGATATCCACCCAGCCGAACGGAACTTGAAAACCTGCTTAATCAAGCAAATCATGATCGTGAAATTGCTATAAAATGTGGCAATCGACTTGCTCATAAATGCTCTATCTTGGATAAAAACAATAAGCATATGCAACAGGATCTAAATCGATCCAATAAAGATAAAGAGAAACTCACTAAGCATACCTATCAGCTTATAGATGAAGTAAAACGATTGCGTTCAGAGTTAGATACTCTAACATCCCAGATTACTCGCAAAGATATTTCTCTTAAAGAATCTAAGATTAAGATAAAAGATCTCCTGTCTAAGATAAAAATATTGGAAACAAAACTATCTTCAACTCAGAATAAATCAAAAGAAATTACAGCACTTCGGTCTATGAAAAAAATACTAGAAAATAAGTTAGAATCAGCTCAAAAAGATGCATTCTCAACTCAGGAAGAGATAGTAAA